TTGCCGAGTGCGCGGCAAACAAAGGCAGACACAGTGCGTAGGAGTTTAGCCGACGCGCGTAAACACTGAACCCGCGCGGCAGCGAGGTAGGCTCCCACACCATGTCCGCCAAATATGCAAACACTTATTCAGATGCGTCTTGAATTTTCAGTTCCTATTTGACAACGGCCTATACAGGCAGCTGGACGGAATAGTTATGGGGCTCCCCCTTGGCCCGCTTCTAGGGAATATATTCACGGGCAAACTGGAAGCCTCGCAAATTCGTCACCATATAAATATTCTGCCGTATTACGAACGCTAGGTGGACGATATACTGGCGGTTGCAGCTTAAATAATTTACGCTTTCCGTCTGATGCGTACCATTTATCAGGCGCACCTGTCGATCAAATTTACATGAGAGGAAGACCAGTCCGGATCAGTCCCATTTCTCGACATGAGTAGAAGGTTTGACGGGAGTATTCAACCTAATGTATACCGTAAGAAGACGTGGTCCGGGCAATATACACATTTTTGGAGCTTCCTACCTTTAAATTTTAAACGCAATCTAGTACAATGTTTGACACAAAAAGAGAAAAGTATCTGCTCGACCGATAGCATCGAAGGAGAGCTTAAGATTGTGGAAGGCGTTTTTCGACAAAATGGGTATCCTAGTCGATTTATTTCCAGTTGCGTGGCTGAAAGACCACCAAAGCCCTCGACACTAACGACAGAGAGGAAACGAATATTCACCAGGGCCCCATTTCAAGGGGACACGCCAAGCGAACTTATTAGAAGGCGCCTAATTCAAGCTGTATCAAACATCGTTTGTGGCGGCCGACGCCCATGTACTGTTCCCGACTACTCCCATCCTACACGGTGAGAGCAAGGACAAACTGCCAGCCCAGACCACCTCCATGTGCACCTATTACTTTACCTGCTCCTGTGGTGCGGAGTATATTGGTCGCACGAGCCGGCATTTGTCCGAAAGAGTATGGGAGCATCTTCCAGCATGGTTAGGAAAGGGCAACTAAAGAACCTAAGCAGTCCCAATCTTGTGCACATGATAGATTCAAATCATTGTGTGGATACCAGAGAGGCTTTCCGAGTAATTTACAAGGTGCCCTCAAGCTTTTCAAAATGTCTTGGAGAGCGTCCTTCGCTACTGCAGAAACGACTATAATCAGATTACGCAAACCGGTCCTGTGTGCCCAAAAGAACTTCGTAAAGGCGCCGCAGCCACCATGGCCAAAAGTCGCCAATTCGACCGACTGCAGCTTATTACCTGTCCCGACGACCGGTTCTCCCTGACGCTGGTCAGATTGCTGACCGCAATTGTGTCCCTCCCCCCCCCCAACCCTGACAGTCGCACCATTTTTTTTACCGAGCCCAATATTTTATTTAGCTAACTACGATAAAAGTGTACAGATCTGAAGATAATTTGTCGAGAGCAAACGTATGCTCGCCAATTTATCTTTTGAAATTTTCGATGGAAATTTTCGCAACATCGATCGGCGCGCCCAGAAAAGTCTTCCAATTTCTCCGACGTAGTTGCTTGGTCCGTAACTGCACCAGGTCTTCTAAACGACTCCATGTGTTTCTTGCCGTGGCAGTGGTTCCTTTGGTTTCAGTATCTGGCCTATTTGCGACTCAGTGGTGCGAGGAGGCGGCCGACTGTCTCCGAGACGTTTTTGATGTATGGGATTACTCGCAAAAATGTGGAGTCAGTGCGTTTTTTTGCCCATCTTGTTTGCGCTTGCGCTGGTGGACGACGTTGAGCGGATAGCTATTTTCTCTAAACATCCGTCGAAGATATTGGATTTCGGAAATTGTGTCTTCTAGTTCACTGCAGTGCGTCTCAACATGCCGATAAAGCGTTCTTACGCAACTGCAATTGTAGCTGATTGGGTGGTTGTTGGTGATGTTCAGTACTTGCATCGTGTTTGTCGCTTTCCTGAATACTTTGGTCTTTAGGCCACCATAATCTTTGGGTCAGACGGGGAAATGAAAGAAAAAAAGCTGGTTGTTTCCTTCCTCATCCATCTTAAATTGTATGTACAGGAAGACGCTACTGAGGTGTTCTTTAAACGTGAGCGCCTGATCCCGTTCGATGACGACGAAGGTATCATCCACATACCGCGCCCAAAATTTCGGTCTGCGGTGTTTGAAGACCAGCGACTCTAACGGTTGGAGGACTGCCTCGGCTATAAGTCCCCAAATCGGTGAACCCATTGGTGTTCGTTTCACCTGCTAGTAGATTGTTCCTTCAAACGTAAAGTACGCCCTGAGACAGAACTTCGAGAGTTTTAGGATTTGGGTATGTCCGGGGCGATTCTCCGTCTCGTCGCATTTACTTCGTAGGAGTAATTCGACAGTCTCGACTGCCAGGTCCTGGGGGATAGAAGTAAAAAGAGGGGGGACATCGAAGAAACCCCTGACCGCTGGGACGTTTGCTGGGTTTAACTTCTAGGTCGACACCCCCGGCACGAACTACACGCGCATCAGCTTTGTCCGGCTGCAACCAATCAACGAAGACACAAACATCGATCGGCGTCATGTTATCGGTAAGCCGATTGCTGAGTCACGCACGCGCGCAAACACGGTGATCGGCAGGAATGTTTCGCGGACCTAAGGCGGCACGGGTGAAGAAGACCGAGAAAAGGGGACTGCCGTAAAGGTGAACAGACAATCCTCGACAAAAAAAGCTCGCTTTCACATTGCTCCGATCCTTCCCAATTTTTTGTGTCTCTCTGGATCACTGACAGCAAAGAATGTTGGTGGGTACCCCTTTTTTCCAGGCCTCATTTTCGGAGTAAGAATATGTGTTCCCGCTACACTAGTCTTCAAAAAACAAACAACCACCTCTTTTCAGTGTTTCTTCCTTAACATGGGAGCAAAAATGCTATAGTTGACGCATTCCTTAAAACTTTCTGCCTAATCGAAAGCTGGTCCGGTTAAATACAACAAAACATGCTAGTGATAACGAACGACTGTGGACTAGATGAAAATACAAAAAAGGTTTTGAAAGTAACCGCATGTTGGTTAGAGCTAACCAATTTCTTTACAAAAAACGGAAATATCAGATATTCGCGTTTCCATGTGAAATGCATTATCTCGATTTGTAAAATTGCAGGGATCGATTGTGTGGCCCTCCACAGGATACAGGAGCAGAAATGCCCGTAATGTCGGTGGATTTGTGCTAAATTTCAGGAAGGCATTAGGGTTAAGATTTAGTCTATGGTCAGGATTGGCACACTGTCGCGGCGTCCATAGATAGCTCATCGCAGAGGGTTAAGTAAGTTAAACCCTGGAAACTGCGATCTTCAGGCCCGGTTCCTTAGGCGAAGAGAAGTAATGGGATGCCAGAATGGAAGGAATATTTTGTTCTGTACGGAAGGAATGGAGATAAGTAGTAGAAAATTGACTGTCAGAGAAG